GGGCTGGAGAGATGGCTCAGTGGTTAAGAGCATTGCCTGCTCTTCCAAAGGTCCTGAGTTCAATTCCCAGCAACCACATGGTGGCTCACAACCATCTGTAATGAGGTCTGGTGCCCTCTTCTGGCCTGCAGACATATACACAGACAGAACATTGTATATATAATAAATAAATAAAAAAAAAAAAAAGAATTTAAGACAGTTCTAATTCTATTTATCTCCTCCAAACAGACACAAACAAGACAGACTTCACAATGTTTTTGATATGAATATGATCAAGATCTTTTGAAGAACAAATTGGCATATTATCAATCAAAACTATATTAAAGAAACTGGAGTAATGGCTCATTAGTAAAGTGCTGGTCATGCAAACAAGAGGACCTCAGTTCAAGCTCCAGAACCCACCAAAAGGTGGAAACATGCCTGGAATACCAGCACAGGGCAGGCAGAGACAGGAGGCCCTCAGGAGCCTGCCACTCTATCATTTGAGCCCTAGGTTCAGTGTGAAATCCTGTCTCAAAAATTAAGTTAGACATCAAATGATGAAGACACCCAAAGTGACCTCTGGCCTCCACATGCGAGGACATATACATGTGCACACACACACACACACACACACACACACACACACACACACTCGAGCATGTACATGCATATACAAACAAATATATATGTACATATATATGTGTATATTATAATACAAAAGATACAACCGCCAGGTAGTTACTATAAAATTATTATAATCTACCTGGTGTGTATTAGCTATCTTTCCAGTTCATAACTGTACGTCTTATACAATTTAACAGTTCCTGCTGTCAACATAAAGATGAAAAACCAAAGTCACATGAATAAAGGGCTAAAAAATGAAAGTTATTTTATGTGAAGACCACCACTCAGGGCTGATGATCAAAATTTTAATAACAAAAAGACCCTGAAAACCAACTGATAGGGTAATGGAAACAGGTCTAAGGTTTTTGGGAGCAGTATGGCAGTATATAACTTCATTTTTTTCCCCTGAACAGGGTTTCTCTGTAGCTTTGGATCCTGTCCTGGAACTCTCTCTGTAGACCAGGCTGGCCTCGAACTCACAGAAATCCACCTCCTGAGTGCTGGGAATATAGGTATGTACCATCACTGGCCAGCACTAATATATAACTTTTTAATGAACATATACTTTTTAAAGATTTATTTATTATGTACACAGTATTCTGTCTGTGTGTATATCTGCGTGCCAGAAGAAAACACCAGATCTCATTATAGATGGTTGAGAGCCACCATGTGGTTGCTGGGATTTGAACTCAGGACCTCTGAAGAGCAGCCTGTGCTCTTAACTTCTAAACCTTCACTTTTATAAACAATAATTAAAATGTACTATAAAAACATAAACTGTCCATCACAATGTTAAGCATCCCAAATAAAACAAAAGTTTGAAAATTCCAAGTCTGAACATTTGGAAAAGAAATTTTATTCCCTCTGAGAATCTCTAAATTTTTTAAATTTACTTTTATTTTTTTGAGATAGGATCTTACTATGTATCCTTGGCTGGCTTGGAACTCCCTATGTAGAGCAAGCTGACCTCAAACACACAGAAATCTATCTGCCTCTGTCTCTGTTTCAAGTGTGGAGTGCCATGCCTGGCTTTTTTTTTTTAAGTGAAACTTTCTAATTGTTATATCACAAGTCTAATGGTTGAATGTATACGTGTTCTTTAATATACTAAACAATACATTATTTCAAATATTGCATAAATTTACTCCACACACAATGTGTATACATCATAAATGAATTCCATTCTTAGATTTGGGTTCCAGTCCCCCAGGATATTTCATAATCAAATAACTACTCAAATAATTAAAGAATTTCAAAATATCGAGCAGTTGTAGTTTCAAGCATTTTGGTGAAAGGATATTAAATCTATGATGGACTGATTAATTAAATCATGATAACAAAAACATGAAGGGATACTATGGGATCACTTGACAATGCGTAGCAGTATTTACTGATATGGGAAGTGATACCCAAAAGTATGATGGATGAGGGAACAAGTGGGACAGAGATACTCGACTGCAGGGTATAGTGGCATTATCAAGTCTATGAAAAATCCAGTGTAGTAACTTACGTTGTGGAATGACAGCGAAGGGAAAGGCAAAAAAAGAGATAAAATTGTATTTCTAAATTACTAATATTGGTGGTCTTAGTTTTATCTATCTATCTATGGCATTTTTCAGACAAGGTTCCTCTGTGCAGCCCTGGCTAATCTGGAGGTAGCTCTTTAAACCAGGCTGGCCTAGAACTCACAGGAACTTCTGCCTCGCAAGTACTAGGATTAAAGGTGTGCGTCATATCTTTCTGCTTTAAACTTTTTTCCTTAGTGAAAAACAATAAAACTTTCTATGATAAAGGATAGGAATGACTTTGACAAAAAGCATCCATGAATATTAATGAAATAGAGAACAGTACTCAAAATATGACAAGTACACAGCTGTTAATTAACAAAAATGAGAAATCAAAGATGAGTACAACTAGCTAACTATAATATTTATTGATCGCCCCATAAACGTTATATAAAATGTTAAGCAATGGGAAGTCATAGTAAGATTTGAACTGATGACTGCGACGGTTCAGCACGGAAACACACTTGCTGTCAAGCCTGGTGGCTTCAGGTAGGAGTATTGACTACTACTAGTTGTCCTCTAACCCACAGTATGCAGGCGCGCGCGCACACACACATTGGAGACTGTGGACCACCAGATCCTGAATTTTTTGTAAGCAGCCTGCAGCTGCTCTGAGCACGAGACCCTAATGACAGGGGAGTGGGTTCTGATGAGTCTTCAGCTGAAAGATCCTGAGAGCTGGGACGTGGCCAGAGCCCTATATAAGCTGCCCCTGAGCACGACAAAGTGAGCATTCTTGGCACTCTTGTATCAAGGTTGACCCATGTCCCGTGTCTCTCTGTCTGCCTATGTGCGTGTGTTTTTAAGTCTCCAGGCCAGTTCCTGGCTCCTATAGTGCAGGAGTGCAGGAGCCACACACACACACATGTACAAATTTTTTTGAATAAATTTAAAAAATGTAAAGGGCCAATGAGATGTCTCCATGGGTAACAAGTTTCTTGGACAAGCCTGGCAGCCTAAATTGAATCCTAGAGCCCACAAAGGCATAGGAGACATGACTCCATAGAACTGTTCCCAGCCTGCCCCCACACTAATGATACATGCTTTAAAATATAGGTAATATTTAAAAGCCATTCCCTAGTCATAGGGACCATGTAGATTAGTGGGACAGAAATGCCTGTAAACAGACCAAAATAATGAGAGAGATGCAGAAGCTATAGAAGACAACTGTTTAGCTATGGACTTTCTTTTCTTCATTCTTTTCATTTACTTAGTTTTAAAAAAGGGTCTTGTGTAGCCCAAATATTCATTCACTCATTCAGTTAGGTAGACAGGTGAGGAGGTAGTTATTTTTGAGAAAGGGTCCCATGTAGCTCACACTGCCTTGACCTTACTATAGAGCTGAGATGGATTTTCAGCTTCTTGCTATTTCTTTTCTTTTCTTTTAATATTTATTTATTATGTATACAATATTCTGTTTGTGTGTATGCCTGCAGGCCAGAAGAGGGCACCAGACCCCTCTACAGATGGTTGTGAGCCACTATGTGGTTGCTGGGAATTGAACTCAGGACCTTTGGAAGAGCAGGCAATGCTCTTAACTGCTGAGCCATCTCTCCAGCCCCTTCTTGCTATTGCTTATGACAAGATAATCCAGGTTCTTACACATTTTCTTCACCA